GAGTATTATTAGTGGACATCCTGGAAGGAAAATGAAGCTTCCAATGGCGATACAGGGGTTATAAGTTTATGAAATATGAAGCCCTAATCAAATCAAAACCCTCTAGTCAAAATCATGTTACATAATGATAACCACAACTCAAAATTTAGCCAAAAAAGATGCATACTCCAATCTTCTTTGCGAGTGCAGGAATAACTTATATGCGATGATTTCCTAGTGCTTACCATGACTAAAATGATCTTGGAGTCGATTACAAATGAGAAATTAGTTGGCTGAAGGTTTGTTAGATAGGTATAGGTAAAAATCTGTTTCTTAATAGATTTGAAATGTGTTGTTTCTATCAGCCTTTTTCATCTCTTCTTGCTTGGTTGTCATCAATTGAATGTTATTAGACGATCCCCATGACCTGTTGAGTAATTTAGTTTCCCTGGGGTTGGGGGGGTGGGTATCCAAATTTACGTTTATCCTTTACTATTTAAAATGTTATTAGTAATATCATCATTACTGTTTTTGCAGTTTCCGTCGGTCAACTCTTTCATCTTGTGTGCAACGAAGTCTGGAGGAAAATGGACACTCCCAAGAGAGTGTCTTCTAGTCCTAAGGATCAGCCTACTAGGAAACAACGGAAGGGAGGAACCCGGTTCGAATTCCACTAACCACAGAGCCATATGCTGATATCGATTTTCCCAATTCATCGACCTGCAAAAATTCCGCATGTCGAGCCAATGTTTCAATATATGATAAAATTTGCAAGAGGTGCTCTTGTAGAGTTTGTCATTTATTTGACAACAAGAAGAATCAAAATCTCTGCTTGGAATGCACGTCTGAATAGGTTCGGGGGACTCTTGTTGCTTTTCTTGCCACATTGAATATGCCCTCCTGAGCGGGAAGGTGGGAGTTGTTAATCTTGGACAGTTGATGCAGCTGGATGGAGGCTATTGCTGTGCTTCCCGTGGCAAGGTTTCTGGGATAATTTGGTAAGCTCTTATCTTCTAACGTGTTATTTTCTAATGCTTGAACCCCACCTCTCTTCTTTAGCCAGATCCTTGAAATAGGCTTCAGCAAAATATTGTAGAGCATAATTATATTTTTTGAACTTGAGGAGGATGATGGCGACAAGTTTTAAAAAATGGAGGAAAATTACTCGAATATTAACATTTTAAGTGCAATAATGAAGACCAAGTATCCTTTTAAGTACAATTGTGGGGGTAGATAATTACATTTGGAGTGTAATCACCAAGTAACTCCTTTGGAGACGAGTTTCCAAGGATCATCATCATTAAACGGGGGGTGAGGTCCGCTTTTGGTAGTCACCATCTGGATGTGCACGCATGTGTTGAAATGCATTTATCTCGTAGTAGTCACTTACAATTGAAATATTATGTGTGTCTTTGTTCAACGGTAGTTAAGGTGGAAGATGGCCTTGCCATTAAGTTTCTAAGTGATGGGCATATTGTTCCATAGTATGACTTAAATTCAAGCTAAGATGTAAGAAGAGGTCCATCTAGAAGTAATTTTAACTTCATTGTATTGGGTTTTCAACAAGTTCATATGGCATGAATATTGTTTGCAGATGCTGTAAAAAGCAGGTAACTATTGCTAAGGATAATTGTTGTGTGGATATCTGTGGTTACAGGATTTTCCTTAGTTACTGGCTCTTGGAAGAGATTTCCAGATTTCAAGAACCCGATCAAATTATCGCAGAAGCTAAGGACAAATTGGAGACACAGGTAGATCCGGTGAATGATTCAACCAAATTGGT